TCCTCCTGGGGGAAGAGATAACATTCTCAGGACCTAATTCTCGTCTGATAAGTTTTATTTTTAACCAACTTCTAATCCTTTCTTCTTCTTATTTTCATGGGCCCCTTGCACTTCTCGGCCTTTTCTGTCTTCCTCAGAAGGGGACAGCAGAACATCGGGGTACCGTGTAGGGTGCCAGGGTCTCTCCCATCTCATCCTGGAGCTGTCACTCGGGGTGCTGGGCACCTGGCTCACTTCCTAATAGCAGGGAGACTTCCCTCTGCACCAGGTCCTGTTCTCACACCTCCTTCTGGGCTGTCTGTAGATTTCCTTCTGTCAGTAAACTAACATGATCTTGAGGAAGGAAGCACGCTTTAGAAAACTAGACAGCTGTGACTTGCGGTGATTAACATGGGCTGAGTCGCCAATCAGTGGCCTGGCGGCCACTTAAGGCTCCCAGTGTGAAACGTCATGACTTGACAGGGTGATTCTTGGATTGAGATGAATGAAAGCAGCCAGGATCCACCCAATCGAAGGGAAAGGTTTTATTTGGCTTGGTTTGTTTTCCTGTCCTGAGCCCTCTGGCCCAGGCTTTCCCAGACAAGTATGTTAGCAGTAACTGTGACCTTAGCTACGTAAGCATATATACATTCTTTTTCTTCTTTTTGACTTTTGACCCGACCCCTCCCCAGATATGACTAAATATGGTTATGGCTAAAAGTTTTCCAACTAACACTAAGGGGAAGTGGAAGTTTTGAACCTGGGGAGGGCGATGGAGTTTGCGTTCCCCAGAGAGGGTTGTGCATGGGAATGCTGTCCCAGACTTGAACTTCACGGCCTCCAACTGCAGTTTGTTCGCCATGGACCGGTTGTCTCTCAAGCATCTCTTGGCTCTACCGTGCATTGTGTATATAGTCACTTTGCCTTTCTTCTAACCCTGTAATAGGCGCTTAGAAACTAAGCTAAAAAAAAAAAAAAAGAAAAGGTCTGTGATGTAGCTTCACAGGATAGAAAGACAGTTATCAGAGGATTTAAGAAACAACAAATAAAATAAAACCACTTAATCATGGAGTACCAACCAGGGTCCCGGGAGGAAATGGATGACACTTACAAATTAGGATAATTGTAGGAGAGTTAAGTAAAAAGACTTTTCACCAAGGTGAGGAGCAGTACCAAGAGAGAGTGCAGTACCCAGCCTTCCAAAGCAGGGGTTACCACTCCAGACTCTAAGACTGGTAGGCAGGAAAGGGGAGGAAACAGTAACCCTAACAGAGAGGCTTCCTGACAGGGGCCAGGACCTTCACTGCAGGAACCCAGCCAGCCCATGGGACCTTGCAAGAAGGGAGTTGGGTAGTTAACACCCCACCTCTGGCTTTTCCCTTGTAGGGGCTGCTGAAATGTACCCTGGCCTAAGCACATCTGTAAGTCACCAGTCAACTGCCCACTGATAGAGGGACATAGGTCTGGTCAGGCTTCTGGGGCTCAAAAGAGGGGCATAACCTAGGGAATATGGGGGGGGGCAGTAAAACAGATCAACACAACAGCATCCAGAGTTCTCCACGGTCCAGCCCCATCTCCCCCTCATAGCCTACCCCTCACTACACCAGGACTTTTCTGTTTTTCAAACAAGTCAATTCTGCCTCTGCCTCAGGGCCTTTGCACTTGTTCCTTCTGCCTAGAGTGGTCTGCTCCCACCCATCTGCATGGATAATGATGGGTCATTTAGATCCTGGCTTCCTAAAGAGGTTCTCCACTCCAAGTATTCCCCTACCTCACCTTCCAGTCATGCTATTTCACAGTCTAGTTTTATTTTTACATGGAAGAGAATAATGGAACAGTTTTAACTTAAAATATCAATATTTACTGGAAGTTTTATTCTTTGCAATGATTTAAGCTTAAGATGAAAACCAGATATCAACTTTCAAATATGCAGGGGGTACTTAATTTTACGAAAGTTGCCTGAAGGTGTGGAAAAATGTTTGGACATCACTGAGAGAGCCTGAATGCTCTCGGGGGCTGTTTGAAGGAGTGAGAGGCCCTCTTCCTCTACTAGAGGCTGTGTGCCTGTGCCTTTTATCACAGCTACCACACTGTGTGTGTGTGTTAGTCGTTAAGTTGAATCTGAGTCTTTGCCACCCCATGGACTGTAGCTTGCCAGGCTCCTCTGTCCATGGAATTCTCCAGGCAAGAATAATGGAGTGGGTTGCCATTCCCTTCTCTGGGGGAATCTTCCTGACCCAGGGATTGAACTCCAGTCTCCTGCATTGCAAGCAGACTCTACCGTCTGAGCCACCAGAGAGAGAATGTGAGTTAGCATGAGTTAGGAGGTAGCCAGCAGCACTATATTTCTTTATTTACAGGGACCTACAAAGTCTTCCCCATGAGCTTCAGAGAGAGATTTTCTTCCTTCTCTGCTGGCTACATCCTGACTCATGCTAACTCAAGTCGACACACAGCAACCCGAATTTGAAGAGACTACTTTGGCTCCACCTATGGACTTGGTTTGCGTGCCAGACCAGGGGCGATTCCCTTGTCTTTCTGAAGGGCCACACCCCACTCTTCTCGGGCCCCATCGAGCAGGGAGTGAGGCTTGCAGAGCCAAGTCTGGATGGGAGCAATTTGAAAACTATGCCACCCTGATAATTTACAGTGAACTTTTAAGGCATCATTTCATTTAGGGAAGGGTGTGAAGCCATTCTCCATGGCCTTCCTCCAACTGCCACAACTGCCCTGACTTAAGCGGGTAACCAGCCCATGCCTGCTGGCGTCTGATGGGGCAGACCTCCCTTCTGACGAGTGGGGCCTCAGCCACATAACTGTCAAGAATTTTCAGAACCACCCATGCTTTTGAGGATACGTCTGTCAGTTTTGGTCTGGAGGCCGGGATTTTGTTCCAAGGTCTGCTGCTGATTGAGGGCCCCATGCTCATCTTCCAGGTAGTGCTCTAGTGGGGTCTAAGGTCCAGAGGAAATGTCACGGGCGTCCACTAGCATATGAGCCATGAGAGCAGCCAGCGGCGAGGAAACTCTCTTCTGCTCTTTCTCTCTGCTAAAAAGCTCCTTGACGCCCTAGCTATCTAGCTTTCCTGCTCCATGACTTCCCACCTATGGAACCTTCCAGCTGCTTTCAGTTTTCTGGTTCCCAAGGAGAGAATATGATTTGCAAAGCTCATCTTGTGGGGCCAGACCAGCAATCTGGATTGACTGCTCTGGGGGCAGGTGTTCACTAGCGTTGCTGATGCTCGGGGGAACTAGGGTAGAACCCTTCAGTTCCTACAGGCTGCTTCCAGCTGTTCTTCTCAGAAGGGCGTGTGGGCAGGGCAGGCCCCTCCAGATCACACAGCGGTCACATGCGCTCTTTCGGGTTCTGTGAAAGACATGTGAAATAATTCCAACTGACACTAAAAGGTGAAAGCCCTGCCCTCTAAAAAATATACCAAAATGGTGATAGGCTGTTGACTGGCCTCTTTACGTGTGTCCCGACTTGTGAATCAGAGTCACAGGGCTCTGAGAGCAGGGGTTGGAAGACCTAGGATCAGTCGGGGAGAAAGCACTGGGAGGGGAGAAGTCAGGGGAGAAGGAGGCAAGGCCAGGCTCCGAGAGCTTGGAGGAGGCCTGTGGAAGCAGCATCCTGCTGGATGAGCAGCTGAAGGTGCTTCTCCTCATTTTCCCACGTTCCCGGAGGTGGGCCAGGTTCCCAGCTCACTGGCCTCATTGGTAAGAGGTAAGCAGTGGATGAGTAAGGGCTGACCCTGTCCTAGCACATAGAGCTGGGCCAATCAGATCATGTCTCTAAAAGGCTCACAAAGGAGCCTGGTCTTGGGGGTGACCTGGACAAAGGAAAGTCACATTATTATGAAGTTTCATCTTCAAGGAGAAGAGCCACAGCACAACCATTTCTTTTCCTATTAGATTCTGCTTCTTAAAACACACACACACACAAAGAATCCCCTTGCCTTTTCCGTGGGTCCCAGCCACGTGTTTCTCGGGCTCCTATTAGCTTGCTCTGCTGGGAGGGCATCATCAACAGGTCTTTGGAGGCTGCATTAGCCACGCCCCCATCCCTAGAGGCAGCAGTGTTAATGGCCCTTAAACACCTGTAAGCCCTGAGTCCTTCACAACTGTTGCTCCTTTTCTGAACAAGCAGCTGAACTCGGGCTTGGAGGCGTCCTGAAAGGTCAGCGGATCCTCTCTGAGAAGCTCGGATTTCTCCCCACTCGTCACCGGTTCTGCCTTTCTTCCCCCTGCCAAACCACCGTCACCACAATTCAGCCAGACTTAGCAGTGTCTGCTACCCACAGGGTAGGAAGTGTGGTCGTCCAATTGCCCGAGGTCAGGACCCATTTCTGGTCCTTGCTGTAGTGTTTCCATTCTCGGAAACACACTGCTCTGAGATCAGAGGAGAGTCTAGCTCTGGAGGTGAGCCTCTTGGTTTTGACCTTCTTGGGAGAATGGGGCTGCTTTTTTGGGTGAAAGAACAACACAGATGGGCAGGGAGTACTGTAAGTAGCCCAGCTTAACCACAGGCCTTGTGTGTCTGTGAGTTGAAGGTGACTCAGAAGCCGAGAGCCCTGGTGGGTTAGGGTCTGCCCGTGTATTCATCCCCAGTATTTCACAGTGGCCTGGCAGACAGTTGGGGGCAATATGGTGTGGTGAAAACAACATGGACTTTGGAGTCAGGCCTGGCTTGGAGTCCCAGTTCGGCTGTTTCTACCTGTACAACCTCTGTAAGTTATCCACCCTCTGTGTGCCTCAGTTTCCTCCTCTGTAAGCCCACCTCCACTCCCTCTAACCTACTTCCACAGTGCTTCCTGCCCCCGTGGAGCTGGGCTCCTCCTGTCAGAGAGGTTTCTGTGCCCGGAGGACAAATGCTTCTTTCAGGAGGCACAGGGAAATTTCTGTTGAATTTGGATGTTGAGAGAGCCACCCAGAGGCACTCCTTCAGAAGTAACTACTAGGGAAATAGGCCACAAAAACGAACCACAACGCAACCCAGAGTGGACTCCAGTGGTTGACACAGTCTCAGGGGAGGGTTAGGGTCAACGCTGCCGGAGGAGGTTTCAGAGGCATGTGCAGGGCGGATGTCTGGGCCTTCCTCCGAGCTGCGTTCTTGGTTTCCTGTGCCTGTAATGAAGATGGACAGACAGCTCCCACAGCAGACCCCAAGGCAGCACGACTGGGACTCAGCCCCATTGAGCATGAGGGTTCAGGGCCAGGCAAAGGGCCCCTGCAGCTGTGGCACCGGCTGAAGGGAAAGGGGGTGCGGTGGACAGCGAGTAAGACAGTGACCAATGAACTGCCTGTGTGTTCCATCCCGCCCTTCACTGCCTCGATGATGGAGCCAGACTCTTCGCCGTCTGGAAGAATGCTAACTTTGTCAATAGAGGTGCTGGAGGGACACCGCAGGAGGAAAGGGGTGCCTGCCAGTTTGCAGGGTGCTCCTAATTCTGTTCGCCCCGTGGTTGCCAGTGTCAAGTGGAGGGCACTCAGGGGTCCTTGCACTCCAGCCAGCTGCATCGCTGGGCCCCGGCCCGTGTGCTCTGCTCACGATGCCTGACCACCACGCCAGCCTCAGCTCACCTACTGTGGACCAGCTCTGGCCCCGGCCATCTCGAGCTTCTCTGCCACCCAGCGGGCTGCAGTCTTGTCCTCTGGCCGGAGATCTGAATCTCAGCCTGGGAAAGTTTGTTCTTTGCTTGGCTATTCTTCCTCAGCCCTAGGGTATTCTTTCTTTTTTGGTGTGTACTCCCTGTAAATAGTTCTTCGTGTTAAGCATCCATATATGGTTTCAAATGTTCAAATTCCCATATAGTTTCTGTCTCTGCCTGGAGTCTGACTGTGATAGAATTGATACCGGGAGCGGTCCCAGTAGATAGATGTCCCCCTCCCTTCTCCAACCATACACACAAATGGTATTTGGGGATTTGTCTGGGCTTGAGTACAGTGCTCAGCTCCTTGCCCATGGGAAATGGGATGCTGGTAACGCAGTGGCATCGTGGTTAATTAAGCTCTCACCAGTGGTTAACTGTGATGCAATGTCAATGGAAGCGAATGCCTTGTAATCTCAAACAACTGCTGGACTGTTAATGGCGGTCATGATGGTGATGAGGATTGTGACGTGGGGGGTGGATTGTGCTGAGGGTTCTAGAGTGTTTACAGAGAGAAAATGACACGCTCAGGTCCTTCAACTTTTAAGTCATGGTCTGACTACAGAATGTCACAGAGCTTCTATTAAGCCCTTACAAGAATTATTTCTTGTTGCCAGAGGGCTGATATCACTGAAAGATTATACAAAATTTAATTGTGTGGGTGGTTGAATTATGATTGCTAAACTCACAGTGATGCCAAGTATCTTATGTTACAGATTACGGCATTGACTGGGAAAGAATGGGATTCTGAAACTTGGAATAGGAACAGCTGCTTATATTCTGATAAAACTAACACTCTTGAAACCGCATGTCACCCTGATTCCTTTGCCAGTAGAAGTATCTTGCCCTCTGATATTTGAAGAAACGAGCTTTTCTTTGCTGGAAAACTCCATGCTCACCTCATCTGGGACAGATGCCTTGAAAGGGGATGTTCCTTTTCAAGACCCACCACAACCAGCCCTTGTTACCATTAGCCTGTGTGTGCATGCCAAGTCGCTTCAGTCCTGTCTGACTTTTTGCAAACCTATGGACTGCAGCCTGCCAGGCTCCTCTGTCCATGAGATTCTCCAGGCAAGAATACTGGAGTGTGTTGCCGTGCCTTCCTTCAGGGGATCTTCCCGACCCAGGGGTTGAACCTGCATCTCTTGTGTCTCCTGCATTGGCAGGCGGATTCTTTACCGCAAGCGCCTCCTGGGAGGTCCACTATTAGCCTGTAACTAGAGTCAATTCTCTGCTTGTTCCAGGGACAGGATATACTAACATTTGGGAAGACCCAACTTACACACTAAGAAGACTATAAGATTTTGCTAATCTATCAGGAGAAACCTGCAGAATATATAGGAGTGGACTTTAAGGGTATTAAACATAATGTGGTTATGGATTTTCCTCTAATATTTTACAAGGTTTTTTTTGCTTTATGTACTTTGAAATTCTGGGGATAATGGACAACTGTGACTCGGGATTTCTGTGGATTGTAATGTTTTTAAAAATAAGAACATCTCTCATTGTTTTCTCTTAGTGATTGTACACAATTTTGTCAGAGATTAATATTATCCTACCCATTTTCTTTTAGTTAGCATTTTCTGATGTTTTTTCCATCCCTTTATGTCCATTTTTTTTTTTTTTTTTTTTTTTACTGTTGTTTTAGGAGTGTCTCTTGTAAATAGCTCATAGCTTTGCTTCCCCTCACACAAGCCATCTGTTACTATCACGTGTTGGATTGACATGTTATGTTTTACCATGCTTCTTGTTTTCTTGTTTGTTCCTTTCCTGTTTTTGATCAACTTCTTGCGTGTTTGCTTTTGTTCTTGTTTTTTACTCTAGTGGTTCAGAAACAATAAACTGTTTTTCTACTAGCTAACCTTAAATTTTTGATGTGTATCTAAATATTCTATGCTGTAGCCGGGTCTGTCACTTCCTCTTGTACAAAACAATGTTTGCGTGTTTTCACTCCCTCCTTCCTAATCTCAGGTATTTTCTAGGGTTATTATTTTTCCTTGTAATAAAGAGCTTTTAGAGATTTTTTCTTGTTTTTTAATTGCTTTCTTGATGGCCATTGTTTTTTTTGTACTCTGTCTCTCTCTTTTGGACTCTTTTTTATTTTTCCTTTAGCAAGAGTTATCCTTTAGTGTTTCAGGAGGTGTTTGTGGTTGCTAAACTTCCGGTCCTTGAATGTCTCAATTTCTTCCTCCTCTCATTTGAATGCTATTTTGGCTGCTTGGTCTATTGATAACAGAGATATAGGTTAAAATCTTTCACTATGAATGTAGATTTTTCTATTTATTCTTGTAGTTGTATCAATTTTGGTTTATATATTGAAGCTCTCTTATTTGACGTAAACATTTTGAGTATTTTTAAATCTCATCTTTGTAAATTGAACTTTTTGAAAAATTACTGAGACAACTCTTCTTTCTGCTAATGCTTCTTGTTTTAAATTGGTCTTGTCCGATGGAGCCATCTGAGCTTTCTTTTTTTAATCTTCTTTATTTTCAATCTTTTAATATCCTTAGGTTTAAATATAGCTTTTATGCACTCCGTATCTAGTTAGATTTTCTCTCTTTACCTAGTATAACAATATTTGTCTTTTCAATGAATAAACCTTAGTTAAAATTTCCCCAATTTTTTATTTTTCAAAACTTTAAGTCTGCAGAACATTCACAAGAGTAATAAACATCAATTTGATTCACCAGTTATTAACACTTTGCTGCATTCTGTGAATGTGTATATACAAATGAATATGTATATAATTTTATGTGTATTTATTTATATTGTATACAGACACATATGAGCTTCTTTGAAGTGGATGAGAACTGAGCCTTTATCTCTTAAGAATATGGACGTTGTCCTACCATAAGATAATTATCCTCTAAAAATTTAACATTTATATAATATTATTTAATATATGATATTTAATTTATGATATATAATTTATAATATTATTTAATATATAATATTTAATTTATATATATAATTTAATATATATCATTTAATATATGATATATAATTTATAATATTATTTAATATATAATATTTAATTTATATATATAATTTAATATATATCATTTAATATATGATATATAATATCTTCCTGGTTTGGGAGATCCCCTGGAGAAGGAAATGGCAACCCACTCCAGTATTCTTGCCTGGAGAATTCCAAGGACAAAGGAGCCTAGCAGGCTACATTCCATTGGTTTGCAAGAGTTGGACACGACTTAGTGATTAAACCACCACTGCATTCGGATATGCCCAGTTGTCCCAATAAAGTCTTCAAATGTTTTTCTCCCATCCAGGACCCAATTAAGGGTCAAGAACCACGTTTAGTTTTCTCTATAGGTAGAACAGTTCCCCAGCCTTTTTTGTTGTTGTTGTTTTTCTGTTTTTTTCCTCTTTTTTCCTTTTCCCTTTTCTTCTCTTTTCTCCTTTAGAGGGTCTACCTCACTTATGTTGCAGGACATCCCTCTGCATATTCGCATCTGTCTGACTCGATGTTCATGATCAGGGCCAGGTAAACGTTTTTGTCAGAGGGGTCCCGCGCTGTGTTCCCCTCAGTGTGATGTGTGAGGGGTGCACAATGCAGTTCGTCCCATTACTGATGCTAAGTAGGTTAAGGGGGATGTCTGTCAGTTTTCTCCACATTCTGCCCCCAACTATCTCTTAGCCCATATTTTATCATTCATTGGTGATTCTACTCATGTAAAATAATGATTTTTCTATTTCTGTCATTCTTTCTACACCTGTTAGTTGGCACTTACCCTAAGGAAAACTTCCCTTTCACTCCTCTTTGCCCCATCTAAAATGTTAAAGGAAATTTTAGAATCAGTAGATTTATGAATTATTTTGTTTATTCAGAGGTATAATCTAGTCCTGTCACTAATTGTTTTGAAGTTTAGATTCTCCGAGATTTGATCATAGTGACCTCCTTTAAGACCCTGGATTCCATCAGTTTTGAGCACTTTTAAGTTCTTTGGTATCAGAAAATCTTCTGGGCTTTCTTTTCACTTGCCAGAAAGCAGGCATTTCTCTGAGCCATCCTGCCATTCCTCCGTAGTGGGGAATAGTATTCAAAACTAAGATCCAACCCCTAGGTGTGCTCCTTGGTGCAGAGATGTGATTGCTTCCAGGCCCTTCTGTGGAAAGAGTTAAGAAATCTCAAGTTTATACTGACAGTGCCTCCAACTTCATCCTAATTCCATGGGAGTGTTTTCCTGTTCTGCCCACATTGGCTATTTGTACGTCTTTGCTCCTTCAGTGAGAACTTGGGTTTCCAACAGTATGCTTGTTCAGTCCTGCAGGAAACGAAAAATATTTCATAATTGCTTCATCAACAGAAAACTTACTTTGTCTCGTTTAAGATTTGTTTTTGTCCTAAGACTGAACTCTTCCTTTGAGGTTGTATTGTCAGTGTACTGTGTTCAGAAATTTTTTTTTTCTTCTGGGTAATTATATATTAACATGACATATGGGTTTGTTTGCATCTGAATTCAGTGTTAAAGTTTTCCCCATTCTTGTTTCAAGCTATTTTTGAATGTATAAAAAATAGACATGGTTCAAGGCAAAATTCTATTAAAAATCTGCTAAGTCTCATTCCCTTCTCTATCCCTTCCATTCCGGGGATACCAGCCTCGCCACCCCTGTAGGCCATAGATTTTAGTTCTTTTTGATTGATTTTGCAAAAATATATATATTCCTTTTTTCCTTCTCACACAAAAGGTGACATAATTTTTGCATCTTTTTCATTTAAGAATATATCCTGAAAATCACCCTATATCAGCTCACAGGGAATTTCTTCATTCTTTTATACATGTTTCAGTTCAATTAAATATGAATTTAATTGTTTTATTTGGGTTTAACTCTGACATCTTATTTTGT